CATCAGGGGGAGATGGGTGGAGATCAATCAGTCAATCAATCAATCAATCAATCAATCAATCAGATAAATAAATAAAATCTTGCTTTTTTACTTTTCCACTAGGGATCCAGCCTGTTCCTCTGCAGACTATAACCAATGAGAATCCTGCAGGACCAAGTCTTGGAACTATCCCACAAGCACGTTTCTTACTGGTCATGCTTAACATGTTAACTTTACAACATGGTGCAAATACCTTGAATCTTCTTCTCAATACTGGCATGTTGGCATTAATGCAGACCACACTGAGGCTGATAGGTATTTGCAGATCTGTCTTCCTCTGACTTCTTATTCAGAACTTTCAAAAAGTTAAAATGTCTTTGTCGTTGTTTCCTGACACTTCATTTTGGGCAAATTTTTAAAATGATATTAGAATTTATCTGTTAATGCTAAATATGAAGTGTGTATATTACTAGATCTCAAGGAATCTCTTGTTGAATTAGGGCCTAGCTCTGATAATGTGGAAGAAGATATGATTGCTGCATCCCGGGGTGCTTCTGCTACAGTCCTAGAAGAATCCAGGAAGGAGAGCACTCCAGTTCAGCTTCCTGTTTCAGGACCAGAATTGGCAGCCATGATGAAGATTGGTACTAGAGTGATGAGAGGAGTAGACTGGAAGTGGGGTGACCAGGTATTATTTTTGTCTGTGTTTCACTTATTTGCTTTATATCTATTCAATTTGAATTATAATCGTAGTTCTTGTATATTTTAAACATTTCTGCTTTCCTCAGGATGGGCCTCCTCCAGGTTTGGGACGGGTAATTGGAGAATTGGGTGAAGATGGCTGGATTCGAGTACAGTGGGACACTGGCAGTACCAATTCTTATCGGATGGGAAAAGAGGGGAAGTACGATCTCAAGCTAGCTGAACCTCCTCCTGCTTCACAACCTGCAATTGAAGATTCTGACACTGAGGATGATTCTGGTAAGAAAGTTCTGAATTGGGCCCACTGGCATTGTAGTTTCTAGGCATTTATCTGAAAACTGTTTTAATCACATCAGATTTTCTTATGTTCTCTCATTTTTCAATAAAAAAACTCAATGTATTAAAAGAAGCGCTTGGTAATATGTGATTACAAGGATTTCTGGAGTAAAGCTCACTTCTCCTTAAATCTTAAGGCCAGTTCTTGAGGGTGACAACATTTGAACAGACAAACAGGGAGACGAATGATAGCTAATTTGTTCCTGGTGTGGACATTATGAACAATTGTTTGGTGTTGGTTCTTCTAAATTTATCAATTTTATTGCAATGTTTATTAATATCCTCTTTCAAGATATTAGTATAATGTCAGTTAAAGGGTGGTATTAGATAGCATCGCTGAAGCAATGAGCATGAAACTGAGCAAACTCAGGGAGGCAGTGAAGG